AGCCCAGGGAAGGAGAGAGATTCATAATGGAGATGAAAGTTGCCATCTGGGTTCACTTTCCATCGAGGATGTTCTCCATGGAGAGCGGGGAGAGAAGCTGTTAACACCAGCTGTGGATTTAGGGATGCAGCAGGGAATTCTCCTGCCTGTGGAAATCAGTTTAGTTGGAAGGATCTTGTGGTGTTGGGCACTGCAGGGATGGGAGTGGTGGGTAGGACTGGTTTTACTCTATTTTTTTATTACAAGTACAGATGTATTTTCCTTGTAAACATCAAGAGATGTAAAGGTAAAAGTTCCTGTCTGTGTTTTATACGCTTTTTAATAGACTCTGTTTTGGAATTCTGTTTTGGTTTTGGGATGTTTTACAGACTTCTAAGAGGAATCCCTGTCCCAAATAACCCTTGCATTAAATAATCTGTGTAGCTCTGGGGTAGCTGAGCACAAAGGGAATGGAAATTTATGGGGCAAGTCTGGCCCATATGCTTTTCCTCCTCCTGGAGCAAATAGAAACCATCATCCCACAGGCTTTGCATGCAGGAAAAAAGATGTTATATGGAAAAGGTGATGTTTTCTGCCAGGTGGGTTTGGGACCATCCTGGTCCTTTGCCTGTATGTGATTTTGGGAAGCTCTTGTGGAGCCGTGTCCTCAAACCCAGCCTGGCTCTGCTGTACTGGCAGCAGGAAGGGTTTTCATCAGGAATAGCAGTTTAAACTGTGCTCTACTATCAATTTGTGCTTTCCAGGAATGTACTTGAGCTAGAATTAATCAGCATGACAACATGGTGAAAAGCCTTTAACCCAAATATTTGATGATGTTTATGATTCCCAGCTGATATTCACAGCCTGAGTGTGACATGAATTTTGCCTCCAATGACAAGTCATGGATAATGACATTGTTTCTCCCTCCAGAAAACAGAAATGACGTCCCATTTTAATTTGATTTAGGCAATCCAAATGGCATATACTTTGAATTTCTGGCTTTGAAAAAGTGCAGATCAAAAGTTCCTCTGTTGAAATTTGTCCCAGCCTCACCCCCCCCCCCCCCAGGCTGCAAAATCACATCCATGTTTTTACTTGTCATTATCTGTCGGGAATGTTGCAAATGCCAAGACAGGCAGTAGTGAAAACCCCCATTTTTTTAATAAACAGTCTCTTAACTCCTTATACAGGAGCTTGAAAAGGAAAAAAAAAAAAGGTAGTTAAGTCCCAAACTCCAACCTGAAATCTGTGGGATTTGGGTACCTGCCTGTTTGTACCTATTAAAAAAAAAAAAAATCCCTGCAAGAATTCCTGCTGCTTTTATGTATTTGGAGTGGGCCATTTGGTTTGGTTTCCTTGGCATTTGTATCCCAGGCTTCTTCAGAGAAATAAATTCACAAGTGTTGGCCTGTCATCACATGACAAACTCCGGAGCCCGGATTGATGTAATCGGCAACAGACACACGTCAGAGAACTTCATGTGGTTCAGAAGAATACAATATTTTATTAATTCCTCATTCTGTGTGTGTGTGTGTGTCTGTGTGTGTGTGTGTTTTAAATGAGCCTCAGGGGGTTCTTAACTTCTGCCAAGAAATAAGACTTAATTCCTACAAGTTTCTGTTGTGAGCAGCACCACGACCGTGGTGGAGAACAGCAGAGCGAGGTTCCCTTAATGACAGATGTCTTCATAAAGACCTGCTCTTATTCATGAATTTAAAACTTACTGTGCATTTTCAAGTTGTTTCTTTGTGCATCAGTAACTCTGTGTGAAATGGTTGTTCAGTCTGTTGTGGGATGTTCAGACTGATGGGTTTTAGAACTGACTGAACTGGCGAGTATCAAATTAACGCACCCACTCGGGGTGTTTTCAGTAGCAGCAAATCCTGCTGGAAAATCTTTAAAACCTGGGGTGTTTCTCAGTTTTAGGGTTCTTTTTGTTTGGCTTTTGGGTTGGTGTGAGATGCACTACACAAATCATAGTGTTAATGTAAAAGATAAAATTAGTAAAGCCCTGATGTGGCATTGAAGCTGTAATGGGACCAAACACAAGTTACCGAGGAACAGCATCTTAAAACTTGTTAAACTTTGTTGTTCACTTGTGGTAGGAACTGATAATCTTACAGAAAGTCACTGCTGTAGCTAAGGCTAAAGGTAATTGCAGTAATTCCAGAGAAGACCAGGAGCAGCCCTGTGGGAACCTCCTGGGATCTGGGATTGTGGTGTCCCTTCTGGGTCTGCTGCTTTAACATCTTCATCAGAAGGAGGTGGCCAAGTGCTTGGAGTGCTAAATACCACCTTACTGCCCAGAAATTAGGGAATTTGCTTTTCTTCCATTTCCAGGTAGCAGCAATTTACCATTTCAGTTGCATATTATGTGGTTCAGAGACGTTTCTGTGCTCTTTAATGGTGTTTTGAAACTCAAAACGTGTGAAATGAGAAATAAGACTGATACAAGACAGAGTTCCCTTGAATTATCAACCAAAACATTAATTGTTTTGCCTCTTCTTCGTTTTGTTTTTCAGGTATTCCTTTGGTAAGTGACTAAAAATGAGAAAACCTGCAGTAATAATTTATTGATGCATTTGTGGGTATGTAGCTTTTACATTTCTCCAGCTTATTTGCTTGGTCTTTCTCTGTGAAATGTTTTAAGTTTTGATTATCTTTTTTTTGTTTGTTTGTTTTTAAATGAAGTTTTTGATTGTCTTTCACTGCGTTTCTTCCTGCCTATAAGCCCTTAAAGTAAGGAAATTCTGCAAATTAGGATTGAAGGAGACTTGGTAGAAGGGTTAAGTACCAAGAGAATCATTTGGAGGGTTGTAGTTAAGATGAATAATTAAATATACCCGAGGCAGGGTCTGAAGGACATCCCTGTTCCTCCCAAATTCCAGTTTGCTTTCCATAGGTGAATGTCAAGAACCTCTTACTCACATCCTGGGCTTTTCCCCTGGGGTGAGGGGCAGTTTTACTCCCTTGGAGGTTGGGAAAGTTCCTTCCCTGCTTTGCCCAGGTTGGATTTTCTTCCCGCATTAAGTTCTCCAACCCACTTCTACATGGAAGGGTAGAAATCCTGGTGGAAAACATTCCTGTCTGTGGAAATGCTAGGAAATCTGCCAGTGTGCTGCTGATTTTGTGGGAAGTGCTGCCATGGCATAATGTCTTGGAACAGCCTGTTTGGATGTGTCTTCTCCCTGCTGTGGGATTTGTGGGTGGAGAAGGATCCTGGGTCATGGTGTGGATGGAAAGGGGATTCCCAAAGCATTCCCAAGTTGTCACAAGACAGTTACTAATGGAAAATATTCTAAAAGAAGGCACAGGAATAGTTCAAATCCATTTGTATTGGGGGGGTTTGACCCCCTCTCCCCCAGGGATTTGCACCTGTGTCCTTGTTCCCAGTGGATGGTTTTAATCAGGGATAAGTGAATGAACTGTTTGAGTGCAGGTGGGAATATTGAGATTTATCCAGTGGAGAAGCAGAGGAGGATGGAGAATCCTTCCCATGGTGTCCATCAGGTATCTCAGAGCACATTTGGTGTTGAATGTGGGTGTTTGAACCAGCTGGCCAGGGCAAACCCAGACTCCTGTTGAGGACACTCAGCCTGGACTCAAGTTACTCATCTCCTGGATGTTTTCCACCCTCACTGATGGTGTAGAAAAAAAATTGCCTTTTTTCAACTGGTGTTTCATCTTTTTTTGGTCTTTCTTTATGTCCTAAGTGGAGAGCCACCCTTCAAGGATTACTGAAGTCCTTTGTACGCAGTAGGGTCTCTCCCTTCCTTGTTTTTGGCTTAAGGGCCACGTCGGAATGAGATGAATGAGATGTAAATCTTGAGTTACTTTTGTCAGAATACAGGAAAACCACAATATTTTTGTTATAATATAGCTGAAACAACAACATTGTCAGCCATTGCTGGAGAAGTACATTAAATATTGCTGAGCTCTGGAAGCCTTATTCTTTGGGAGCATCTACTTCAAAGCAAAAGATCCTTAAAAAAAAAAAGAAAAAAGAAATTCCTGGAGAGTTCTTTGTAAATGCTGACTGTTTCCTATCCCCCCTCCAGGAAATGTGCTTTTTTTTTTTGATACATCTTAGGCTGGATTTTGGTAGCCTCTATTAAAACTCCGGGCTGTCCCTATGAATTTTAAAGAACTCCAGAGCCTGGAAATAGCAACAAGCTCTCAGGCCAACTGGTACTGCCACAGGTTTTGCTCTTTGCCCTTACTCCTGTCAGGGGAGAGTGATTAAAAACACTGCTCCCTTTGAGGGAATGAGGTGGGAAAGAGCCAGGCAAGAGCTTCCATGTTGGGTGTTTGGAAGGTGGAGAGATGCTCTGGGATGGAAATCCTGGGGAAGGTGTTGGCCTGGGCTTGGTGCTGCCCTCAAATTGGCTGAGCTCTGATAACTTTAGGTTTTATTTCTTGTGATTCAGGTTATAAATGTGGCTTTAGGGCTGTGTTTCAGTGAGTGTGGTGCTGTTACTTCGGGTCCTTCCCTGTGGATGGGCACGAGGGTGGAGCTTCCCTGCTGGCACATCCCTGGGATTGGCAGTGCTCTGTTCTGGTGGGACTGGAGTACACTGGAGTGCTTTGGTCCTTCCTTGCTGAGCTGAGGCTGCCAGGATCTTAGTTGGATTCTGTGAAATTCTGGATTCTGGAAAGCAGAATATTTTGTATTGGTTGTATCACAAATGGTGGGAATGGGAGCAAAATGACTTTGATTTATGAGTGATCCAACCATAAGTGATCCAACTGGTGTCTGAGAGGCCACCAGTCACATCCTGCCTAAAATTCCATGTAGTGTTTGTGTCCCTCAGATGCTCAGGGTGTCACATCTGTGTGGATATTCCAGTTGTATCCCAAGGCAAATGATCACACTACAGTCAGCATTGAATGGACTGGGAGCTGTGGGAGTTCTGGTGATGTTTTGGTGGCCATCTGGCTCCAGCTGTTAGGATGTTGTTTGGACAGTGCTCTCAGACACATGGTGGGACTTTTGGATTGTCCTGTGCATGGCCAGGAGTTGGACTTTGATGGTCCTTGTGGGTCCTTTCCAGCTCAGGATATTCTGTGATTCTGGGATGGATGGAGGTGCTGCCTGTCCTTGGTGGGGCACAGCTGCAGGATCAATTCTTCTTTTCCCAGTGGAAATGTGATTTAGTATAATGATTTGTTGTCTCTACCAGGGGCTTGGAAAAGGTGATGCTCTTTTACAAGTTCCTTGTCTTCTTTCTTCCGTTCTGCCTTATTGTTTTAAGCAGCCCCAGATATTCATAAGACACTTGGATGGTCCTGAGATATTAAATAAGGTGGGAGCGGGAGCTAAGCAGGAAAACTGCAAGGACTGTGTTGTGATGGATGGGAATGTCTCTGTGTAGAGTAAAATTCCAGGGGTGATGTGGGAAAATGACGTCACTGTCCAGAGAGATTCTGACTCCACGTGGTCACCTTCGTGGCCATTGGATACCTCTTGGGCCAGCAATCCATATTCCCAGCAAGGAGCACAAGGAAAAGACAGGAATGGCATCCCTTTACCTCGTGCTATCAATGGGATCATTAAACAGAAAGGATGGAGAAGCAGCTGATCTTATTTGACTCCTGATGCACAAAAGTGTCCTATTTGGAGCCAAAGCAAATGTTTCCTTAGGGATTGTTCCAGGGAGCCTTGCTCCTGCACTCCTTGCAGGCCAACTGTATGGCCAGAATTAGAAGCACATTTTAAAAATAAAGAGCTTTTTTTTTTTTTTCTTTCCCCCCCTCTCACAGTAAATTTTCTTGCTCATCTTGGTGTGGAGAGAAGACAATTGAATTAAACCCTGAGTTTTATTCCATTATCTGTAAACATGGAATGAGCAAATAACTCAGCTCATACCCAAAATGCCCCCAAATTTTGTATTGCATTTATTATCTCAGAATTTGAGCTGAAGTGTGTTTTGATTAGAAGTAGAATAAGAAGTTAAGAGCAGAGTAATGGTAATTCTCCATTACTTGTTAAATCCTCACTCTTTGCTTCAATGCAAATTGTTCCAAGGAGGATTTTCTTTTAAAAGGTCTTCAGGGATCTTGAATTTTAGATGTGCATTGACATAAAATTCAATGTTAGAGTGCACAGCTGGGGTTCTGGCTTTTGCTGTGTGAGATTGAGACGTTTCTCCTTTGTGAACGTGTTCCCGAGGAAGGGCTGAAGTTTTCCTGGTAGTTGCACTATCCCAGGGAGCAGCACTGAGGAAAGTGAGAGGAAAATGGAATGGCTGAGGTCAGACTTCACTAGTGCAGGCCCAAAGCTTGCTTTAAGTGTGCTGAGATGGGGATTTGTCTGAGCTGAGCTGTGCCCTTGGTTCCTGCAGATCCACCTGCAGTGCGTGAGGTTGCCCGAGAAAATTCCCTGGCAGAGGTTGTTGCCCTCAGAAGCTGTGGCTGAACATCCCTGGAAGTGTCCAAGGCCAGGCTGGACTGGACCAGGAGCAGCCTGGGATGGTGGGAGGTGTCCCTGCCCGTGGCGGGGGGTTGGAACAAGATGATCTTTGTGGTCTGCAACCCAAACCAGCCTGTGATTCCATGATTTCTCACGTGGCACAGGGAATTCTCATGCTGGCACCCCATGGCACTTGTGAGCTCGTTGCACAGCAGACGTGTGGGAGTGACACTGGCAGTGGGACCTGGAGGATGAGTTGGGCTGTGTTGTTATTCCTGGAGAACTTTGCTGCCTTCCCAGCAGGAGAACCTGGAGCTGAGTGTCCCAGCGAGCCCCTGGGAATGGCTGGGGTTGAACACCCAGATGCTGCTTTTTATTCCTCCTCCCCCACACCGAGATGGGAGGGACGGGGCAGCTTCCCAACCGTTCCTGTTCCTGGCTAATATTGGGATCTGCTGTTCCTGTTTCTCGTGTAAGAGTGGGAAACTTTTCTCTCTGTCTTATTAAATCTATTTTTCAAGCTGTCACTTAACCAGGTCTAGTGACAGAGTCGGATGTTTATGTGGCCCTGGACACTTGAACTCTGGTGTTTTCAATCACAACAGCACCTTTTGCCAGCCGGTCTGAATTAAATCCTCCTCCTGACCTTTTACCCTCGCCGCTCTTAAATTCATGCTTTAAAAACAGCTTAATGAGGGGTTTACTGGCCCAATTGGAAGTTTTTATTAAAACCTATTAGTGTGCTGGAGTAGCCTGCCTGAAGGAAACGATTAGCCCAAAGCAGCTCGGCTCGGAGCTGGCCCTTAGCCACGCCAGGTTTTCCCTAAACTGCTTCCAGACCCACGTTAACCCCAACACTGCAGCCTGCATGGAATTCATATCCTCTGCTTTAATTTATGGCTTGTCTGATTCCCTCCCCAGCCTCTCCCCGTGTTCACGAGGGCGTTTTGTTTTAATGTGATTAGGGTTGCATTAAAGGGCAGCGTTGCCTTTGGGTCGGGCCTGGCTGGTTGGAGAACCTCAGCTGAGTGGAGGTGTTCCCCCGAAACCTTTGGTTGGTGCTTCCCCATGGATGGGGTGGCAAAGCCACGATGCTCCTGGTTAAGCTCTCCATGAGTTGGTGG